TTCCGATCTGGGAGATTTCTTCAGCTCTTAGACACCAGTGAGACTGATAATCCACAACCAGTTCCACCTATACATCTAACTAACTCTATTAGACAGCAGTATGATTCTGCTGAAGCTTTACACAGAAAGGTGGAACATTTTCAATTGTCCACATGAGACATGAGAGTTTTCTAGACTTTTCCCCTTTTTCTCTTGGATAAGCCTTTTTCTCCTGTTTCCCTGACAGGGTTGCTCAGGTCACGGAAAATTTGGCATGCAATGATAATGTACATGGCCAGAGACATTTTGTCAAGCAAATAATAAAAATAGTAAATTGCTTTTCTTTGTCAAAAATATGTTCCTCTATACTGTTCGTTAAGGTTCCATGAAAAGGATTATCGCTAGTTCAGGAGCTAGGTCCTAGAAGGAATTACACAGTTGAAATGAAAGAGCCATATGGAGAAATTGGCTAACAAAAAATGCAGCACTGAAAGAGATAGGAACGCAATCCTAACATTTTATCTTAAGATATATCCGTTGTGTTCTGGAAAATGTCCACTTTGTATAGAGTAAAAGTTTCTGTGGCTAAGTTTTGCTTTCCAACAAATAGCCCCATAGATACATCAACAAAGCATTAAGTTTCTGATATGCCTTGCACATGAAGATGTCTGAAAGTGCACATGGAAAGCTGAAGTCTCTTCTCAGCAGCCATATACTTACCCTCTGTAATTAAAGGCAAGATCAGTAAAGAAAGCCCTCCGTTTTCTGTACTCTGGGTCTGTGTATCCCTGAGTTGGGAGAAAATTCAAAAAAAAGTTTACATTAAGAGAGATTTCTGGCCATGAATAAATTTACTCACAGAAACATTCAAAAAGACTAGGCTTCAGTTTGACGGTTTTCTCTGAAGCAATGAACTTGCATCTTATAAACAAAGCCAAAGTCTGCACTCAGTGACATCCATGACATTTTGCTGAAAACTGTGGGCCTGTGACCAGAAAGGAAAGTAACACGGGTGGGTAGGAAGGTTTTTGAGCTGTTTGTAAACGCTACATCACAGATCATTACACTTACAGTCAAATTAAATGAAAATCACATTAAAAATGCAATTGGATTAGCAACATCTCTTCATCTGGGGAAGAATTTGAGAGTTTGAGTCACTTCTATCCTGTGCTAAGTATGAAGCTGACAGCCTAGGGCTTCAATGGGCAAAACAGCACTGAGCCTGGCACGGCCTCAGCAGAGGAAGTACACTATGCCTGCGTAATGGCCTATGTTTTGGGAGAAGATGGGGTCCTGATCAGCTAAAAATCATTAGAGCCGTCATTGAATCTATAAAAAGTATAGGCATTCAGCTGAATCTCCTATTACCCATTTTTTACTATGTTATGTTACAGATGGATTCAGTGGTATCTGTTCAAAGGGGCAGTTTACTAAAAAGTTTTTTCCCCCCCACCTCTGGGTTTACTAGAAGTTCAGATTCAAGCAGGATTTTCCAGCTATTAAATATGAACAGACGTGTGGAATCAAATCCCTTTGAATTTTACATCATTCATAATAAGAATGAAATCTGAAATCTGGCACTGTTACGAATATAACTCATAAAGCAGCGTTGATCAGCATCACTGTACAAATATTTATTATTCTAAAATATTCAGAATTTACTGGAACTATTTTGCATACTACAAGCCAAATTTCTCCCTTAGGTTTATTCACATAATTTTCAGCGTAGCAACAATACCAGTAATACTGCAGTTAATGAGTATTGTGTGCGTGAATCTGAGGAAAGAACTGGATCCCCAGGGAGCGCTTACTTTTGTCATGTGTTGCGAATAATATGTTCATTCAGATGCCCTGCTTGATTGTCAGTAGCTGTAATATGTCCATGCAAAACACATGGAAAAGCCATTGGTTCAGACTCGTGTCAATGCTATGACCTCTCTGTTTTATCCTTGCTCTGCACAGAGCTCTGTACCCACACTCTGAACCTCCCCCAGGGAGCACCAGAGACCCCAGCCGGGTGCCAGGGTGCCCCAGCAACTGGTGCCACAGGGTCATTGGTTTGCTTTTTTCTGCTGTTAAAGAGACATGAGAAAGTGAAGTGGAGCCATTGGGCTGGGCAGCCCAACCTGTGTATTTGGTAATAAATGCATATGCAAAATCTCTGGAGAGCCAGCTGTACATCAGCACGTTTATTACTTTTCCCTGTGATGAGCCTTGCTCAGCAGCACAGTCGGTGAGCCTCAATGGTGCGCCATCCAGCCACAGACAGATGATTTCCAGTGCCTGAGATAACTTATTTCAAGCTAGTTTAGGTATTTCTGCATCACACTGCACTATGCAATGTAGATATATCCACAGTCTGTACTTTGATAACTCTGCTCCACTGGTGTTTTCTCGCACCCTCTCTGATGCTCTCACCTTTCATTTGGCAAAGGAAGAGTGAGACTTAGTCTTATTCAGATCACTCCTGGTGTGCACTCATTTAGCTCATGAGAACCAACCTCAGAGATGGTTCAGGAACAAGATAAGCTGATACCTAGATTGTTTCTATGAGAAAGAGAGGTGAAGAATGAAATAAATCCTGGCTAAGGAGGATATAAAGTTCTCTAGAGCATTCTAGTTTCATAAATCATTCTCAAAATAGAAGGTGGACCTGGAAAGGTTTCTGTAACACACAGAACTGTACGTAGCTTAGGAGAAACAAAAGAAAAGGAGTTAAATCTGTCTCCCTTGCAGACAGATTAGAACAACAGCATTAACACTATGTTGGTCAATAAAAGGGCCTAAACAGAATTCAGATGCTTAAGGAAGGGGAGAACAAAATCATGTAGATTCTGTTGGCCCCCATCTAAATCTTCTTTGCACTTTCCAGTGTGAAGTCTATGTTTTATTTTGTTTTGTTTTGTTTTCCTTTTCATGCGTTACTTCTATAGTGATTTTTACAGAAAACTTTAGCACAGTTATCTGCGATCTACCTTTGCAATCAACAAATGGGCCTTTGGACTCCCTTTTTATCTATATTGAACTATTATATCTCAAAGCTGGAAGTTCTTGATGAAAAACCTTTTTTTTGTTTCTTTCTTTCTTTGTTCTCAGTGCTTCACCTTAGAATTTACATCCCTGGAGCAGGGATTTTTCCACTTCCTCCTCTTTGTTTTCTGCTTATGACAGGGCCACAAGTATAAAATTACTGTGAGAAAGGCTTTTTTCGTGTCCCAACCATAATCAAGACCTACTGTCTGGAATCAAGGGAAAGCCCATCCCAAACATTCTGATGATATTTTGCAGACATAGCAGTATCAATAAAAACTGCCAAAATCGTGGCTCTAAAGACCTTAGTAGAAGTCAGATCTAAGTAAGGATACAATCTTTGCAACTTATTTCCGGGTGCTTATCTCAGCTGAAATCACTGGACCTTTTATGCTTCTCCAATTACATTTTCATCTCAGTTCCAGTATTGCATCCAAGAATCAGTGCTGCCATGTATTTAGCTTTTTTCCTGTCTGGACAATGTTTGTAAATTTAAGCATCATCCTCATCTCTGCAGGATGCGAGAACCTGCTATTCATTAGTGACTAGCTCTTTCCTGCTTGTCTTCATTGCCATCCCCCGTACATCTGCACTTGAATGGGATTCCTGGCATGTAGAAAAGTAAAAATGCAGATATGGAGTATCTGAAAGGTCACAGCCTAGAAAAGACAAAATGTAGAAGGCTGGGGAACTTGCCTGTTACGTGGACCATCCTAGCACAAAGTGGGCATACTTCAAATATATCAGGAGTGAAATAATGAAAAAGACATTTTTTAAACTGAACATTGAAGTGCAAACATATGGTAAGGAATATATTGAGTAAAAAGGCAGCATGTGCCTGATGTTAATCATGTACTTTGGTGAATCAGGGCCCATAAGCATTTTGCATTATTAGATTATTCATTCTGCCATCCCTAATTCCACTGAAGATCAGTCTTTATGTGTCTTTTCCTTTGGTGACTTTTCCTGAGTATTTCTTTATTTCTAAAATTCTCCTTAGAAAAATTTCTGTATAGAGAGTTTCTTTCTGAGATAAAATGAACTAACAGTGACCTTAGACTTACAGGGTGGTCATTGTCCAAACTGGGATCATACTTGGTGACCAGATGGTGGCACTTGTCCAGATCTTGGATTTTTCTGGGGAACCAGGGCACTGAAGAGAAAGCAGCAGGAGTTAAATGAGATGGGATTAACTAATTTTGAAAAGATCCAGAAACACAAGTAGTACTCAAGATGACAAGCTTTCTTTTCATCGACAAATATCTGACAAGGAGACAGGTAGGTAGCTGAGTTCCAGTTCACTGACCAAACTGACAAACTGGATGAAAAATGATCTGAAGCTAATTTGCAATGATACTCTCTCAATTTTATTTTTCAGAAATAATTTTTAAAGGCAAAAGCATTTCATTTTAGGCCAAATGAAATGTCCTATTTGACACAGCACAACATATTTCTTTCTACATTTTTGGATTTAAAAACATATTTTCATCTTATCTAAAAAGTAGTTTTACATTTTCATAGTTTTGAAGGTGGAATCAATATTTTAAAAGGAAAAATGAAATTTTTAAAAACATAGCATGTGAAGAAGGTGTATTTTGACTTTTCAGGTACTTTCTTTCTGTTTCATTTTCATTTTTTTCAGTAGAAGTAATCAAGCACTATCTGAATTGCCAAACTATTTCCTTCCTCTGAAGTGGGAACTTTTTCTAGTGGCTAAAATAAACAGAAAGCATGCCAGTTTTAATTTAAGTCCCAGTATCTACAACTGAAGAGTTAAAAAGAAAAAAGCTGAAAAAAAGACAAAGTTAATGCTGCTTTCTAAGTTCAGACTAATACTGAGGTCAGACTCAGCTGTCACAGCTGAGAAAAGCATCATTTGTAGTCACCTAAATCTGATACTTGACAAGAGGACACCATTCGTATCTGCACTGAATGGCAAATTTAGCTTTAGCCATATTAAACTATATCTAAGCATAGCCAGTCTGCAAAGGTATAGGGCTACAAATATACGCCGATGTTGTTGTACCTGTCTGGAGAATGCTAAAAAAGAGCCCAAGCTGTGTAAAACGCCTGAAGGAGCCCTTTGCCCCCAAAATGACAAAAGCTTTCTCCCTTTAGTTTGATCTAGGAATCTCTGAGGAGAATCCTGATCCCCCCCAAGGACTATCCTTCAGAAAACCACCTGGGAGAACCTGGCTGGCTCACCTAAAAACACCAAAGAGAAAAATAAAAAGCCCACATTGGGGGAGTAGGGGGGAGATCCATGCAGGAGATGGAGCCTCATATAAAAGCAGGTACACAAAAATTACGTACTTACAATCTCCCAGTAAATTAATTGCTGGCGCCTGTAAGTATGTTTACACAACTTGGATATCTCCCTAGTTACCAAAATGCCCTCACAAGTGTCTGCAAACCCCTCTAGAAATTAAGCTGCAGCTAGCCTCTTTCAATAAGGTGCACCAATAACATGGGTGAACAGCAGACCTAAGGGCCAGCCAATCCTGAAGCCCTCTGGCACCTTAGCAGCCCCAAACTAACCTCAGTAGGACCACCAAGTGCTCTCAGGCCAAAACCACCAAATCTCTTGTCCTTGCTGATCCCCACACCTAACATCCCAAAGCGGATTTGGTCTCTCTGTGGGCCACAGATACCAACTTGCTGACCTTCTCATCTTGAAAATCAAATGAAATATTCATTAAGGTGTTACTGAGTTCTGGGGTGTGAAACATCCAGAAAAGACCCTTAACAAACTAAACAATGATATGTGTAAGTCTGAGCTGACTTAAAAGCAGAAAGGCTCTGCCATTTGCATGCCAGCTGTATTGACTTGGGCATTATTAGATCCAAAATAAGTCTGTTTGTTTTTATGCTTGTTGTTCCAAACCATAAGATAGAGAGGAACATGAAAAAAATTGTGTCCCTAATATTCCCCTGCTCCAACCAACAAGCCAGCTCTCTTTTGGCACCCACTTGTTTTTGTGGGAAACAGACAGCTGAAGCAAACAGCTGCTTCTAAGCACAAACCTCAGCACCCCAAAGATGTTTCTTCAAACTCATAAAGCTCCTCTGCTCTCTAGTTGCCGTGACAACTGTGATGCCTTTTTGATGTTTCCCCCCACAGTCCCGCAGGATTGTTTAAAAGGTCTCTAACAGTTTATTGTACTCACCCATCCCATACTCGCCTGTGAAAAGGACAAACAATGGTCTGCCTTTGGCAAACCCACTCCCCGTGCTGCTGACCAGTAAGGATGGTGGCTCAAATACAGTCCAGGCAGTGGAGTGGCCACTTGCAGCATTCTGCCAGAGGTAAATACTGTTCTTAAGCCAGAATCTTAGAAGTTGCACAACCTCCATACAAGCTCTTCGTTTGCCTAGAAAAATGCCTGATGCTCTATTATGCAAGGTTTGGCAGTGGATCTGCTCCCTACAAGAAAATATCCCTTCTTTCTCTGCTTCTCCCA